TATATATATATATATATATATATATATATATATATATATATATATATATATATATATGCGAACAAGCCTGAATGGTCCCCAGGATAATATGCAACTGAAAACCCACACTCCAGAAGTGACTCGAACCCATACTCCCAGGAGCAATGCAACTGGTATGTACAAGACGCCTTAATCCACTTGACCATCACGACCGGACATAATGGGTTCGAGTCACTTCTGGGGTGTGAGTTTTCAGTTGCATATTGTCCTGGGGACCATTCAGGCTTGTTCGCATTTGTGTTAATCACGTGTGCCCCAAAGAATGAGGTGATTTGGTAAAATGCTATGCCCAAGATTACTATCCGAGTGCCGGCGGTGGGGTGGTTCAAATAGCCTCGGCTATTACCTCATTATGTCCGGTCGTGATGGTCAAGTGGATTAAGGCGTCTTGTACATACCAGTTGCGTTGCTCCTGGGAGTATGGGTTCGAGTCACTTCTGGGGTGTGAGTTTTCAGTTATATATATATATATATATATATATATATATATATATATATATATATATATATATATATATATATATATATATATATATATATATATATATAATGGCTGACATTGATATGGAGGCTGTGTCTGAGCGTATAATTACAACCCGCTTATATTTTGAAAACAGAGAGCTTAGCAAGGAAATAATATCGCACACTGTGTTAGCTTGAAAGTGTTATAAGGATTACAAGGACTAAACACTTACACAGTAATAATAATAATCATTTCGTGTTAGATGTAGTGGCAATGGAGATTGACTAGGCAAGCTTACATTTTAAATGATATTGATTTTGGACAGCAGAACACTAATTTTACGCATTACGTTACACTGTGTGTGTTACAAGGACTGAAAAACAGTCACACATCATGGCCACAACTTGTGGTCATGGCCACAACTTGTGGTCATGGCCTCAACTTGTGGTCATGGCCTCAACTTGTGGTCATGGCCTCAACTTGTGGTCATGGCCTCAACTTGTGGTCATGGCCTCAACTTGTGGTCATGGCCACAACTTGTGGTCATGGCCTCAACTTGTGGTCATGGCCACAACTTGTGGTCATGGCCACAACTTGTGGTCATGGCCTCAACTTGTGGTCATGGCCTCAACTTGTGGTCATGGCCACAACTTGTGATCATGGCCACAACTTGTGGTCATGGCCACAGCTTGTGATCATGGCCACAACTTGTGGTCATGGCCTCAACTTGTGGTCATGGCCACAACTTGTGATCATGGCCACAACTTGTGGTCATGGCCACAACTTGTGATCATGGCCACAACTTGTGGTCATGGCCTCAACTTGTGGTCATGGCCTCAACTTGTGGTCATGGCCACAACTTGTGATCATGGCCACAACTTGTGATCATGGCCACAACTTGTGGTCATGGCCTCAACTTGTGGTCATGGCCTCAACTTGTGGTCATGGCCTCAACTTGTGGTCATGGCCACAACTTGTGGTCATGGCCTCAACTTGTGGTCATGGCCTCAACTTGTGGTCATGGCCTCAACTTGTGGTCATGGCCACAACTTGTGGTCATGGCCACAACTTGTGATCATGGCCACAACTTGTGATCATGGCCACAACTTGTGATCATGGGCACAGATTGTGATCATGGGCACAGATTGTGATCATGGGCACAGATTGTGATCATGGCCACAGCTTGTGATCATGGCCTCAACTTGTGGTCATGGCCTCAACTTGTGGTCATGGCCACAACTTGTGGTCATGGCCACAACTTGTGGTCATGGCCACAACTTGTGGTCATGGCCACAACTTGTGGTCATGGCCACAACTTGTGATCATGGGCACAGATTGTGATCATGGGCACGGATTGTGATCATGGGCACAGATTGTGATCATGGCCACAGCCTGTGATCATGGCCACAACTTGTGATCATGGCCACAGATTGTGATCATGGCCACAGATTGTGATCATGGCCACAGATTGTGATCATGGGCACAGATTGTGATCATGGCCACAGATTGTGATCATGGCCACAGATTGTGATCATGGCCACAGATTGTGATCATGGCCACAGCCTGTGCTCATGGTCACAGCCTGTGATCATGGCTACAACTTGTGATCATGGACACAGACTGTGATCATGGCCACAGATTGTGATCATGGGCACAGATTGTGATCATGGCCACAGATTGTGATCATGGCCACAGATTGTGATCATGGCCACAGATTGTGATCAAGGCCACAGATTGTGATCATGGCCACAGATTGTGATCATGGGCACAGATTGTGATCATGGGCACAGATTGTGATCATGGCCACAGCTTGTGATCATGGCCTCAACTTGTGGTCATGGCCTCAACTTGTGGTCTTGGCCACAACTTGTGGTCATGGCCACAACTTGTGGTCATGGCCACAACTTGTGGTCATGGCCACAACTTGTGGTCATGGCCACAACTTGTGATCATGGGCACAGATTGTGATCATGGGCACGGATTGTGATCATGGGCACAGATTGTGATCATGGCCACAGCCTGTGATCATGGCCACAACTTGTGATCATGGCCACAGATTGTGATCATGGCCACAGATTGTGATCATGGCCACAGATTGTGATCATGGGCACAGATTGTGATCATGGCCACAGATTGTGATCATGGCCACAGATTGTGATCATGGCCACAGATTGTGATCATGGCCACAGCCTGTGCTCATGGCCACAGCCTGTGATCATGGCCACAACTTGTGATCATGGACACAGATTGTGATCATGGCCACAGATTGTGATCATGGGCACAGATTGTGATCATGGCCACAGATTGTGATCATGGCCACAGATTGTGATCATGGCCACAGATTGTGATCAAGGCCACAGATTGTGATCATGGCCACAGATTGTGATCATGGGCACAGATTGTGATCATGGGCACAGATTGTGATCATGGCCACAGCTTGTGATCATGGCCTCAACTTGTGGTCATGGCCTCAACTTGTGGTCATGGCCACAACTTGTGGTCATGGCCACAACTTGTGGTCATGGCCACAACTTGTGGTCATGGCCACAACTTGTGGTCATGGCCACAACTTGTGATCATGGGCACAGATTGTGATCATGGGCACGGATTGTGATCATGGGCACAGATTGTGATCATGGCCACAGCCTGTGATCATGGCCACAACTTGTGATCATGGCCACAGATTGTGATCATGGCCACAGATTGTGATCATGGCCACAGATTGTGATCATGGGCACAGATTGTGATCATGGCCACAGATTGTGATCATGGCCACAGATTGTAATCATGGCCACAGATTGTGATCATGGCCACAGCCTGTGCTCATGGCCACAGCCTGTGATCATGGCCACAACTTGTGATCATGGACACAGATTGTGATCATGGCCACAGATTGTGATCATGGGCACAGATTGTGATCATGGCCACAGATTGTGATCATGGCCACAGATTGTGATCATGGCCACAGATTGTGATCATGGCCACAGATTGTGATCATGGCCACAGTTTGTGATCATGGCCACAGCCTGTGCTCATGGCCACAGCCTGTGATCATGGCCCCAACTTGTGATCATGGACACAGATTGTGATCATGGCCACAGATTGTGATCATGGCCACAGATTGTGATCATGGCCACAGATTGTGATCAAGGCCACAGATTGTGATCATGGCCACAGATTGTGATCATGGACACAGATTGTGATCATGGCCACAGATTGTGATCATGGCCACAGATTGTGATCATGGCCACAGATTGTGATCATGGCCACAGCCTGTGCTCATGGCCACAGCCTGTGATCATGGCCACAACTTGTGATCATGGACACCGATTGTGATCATGGCCACAGATTGTGATCATGGACACAGATTGTGATCATGGCCACAGATTGTGATCATGGCCACAGATTGTGATCATGGCCACAGATTGTGATCATGGCCACAGCCTGTGCTCATGGCCACAGCCTGTGATCATGGCCACAACTTGTGATCATGGACACAGATTGTGATCATGGCCACAGATTGTGATCATGGCCACAGATTGTGATCATGGCCACAGATTGTGATCAAGGCCACAGATTGTGATCATGGCCACAGATTGTGATCATGGACACAGATTGTGATCATGGCCACAGATTGTGATCATGGCCACAGATTGTGATCATGGCCACAGATTGTGATCATGGGCACAGATTGTTATCATGGCCACAGCTTGTAATTGTGATTATGGCACAGACTGTTGTCATGGCCTCATCATTAAAGACTCATCTTTTCGCAAAACGAATTAAATGTCATATTTGTCCTTAACTGTAAAATACAAATAATTAGTACACATGGTCCTGGTTTCTGTCAACAGGAGGGTAAAAAACAATTAATAAGGACAATTTTATCTCCGCCGTGCTCGTAATGTGAGCCGTGCAGGAACATGTACATCTGGATGTAAAAATATTGAGCGTTCCTCATTTGTTTGTCATTACCTTAATAAGATTATCAGCGAGTCTGGTTGCATCCGGAGCTACACAATTGACCGTTGTTTTGGTTAAAAAAAATTAATCAGTGCCCTTAATGAAAGCAGATTGACGAATGAGCGGATGATTAAATGTTTCCTACACACATAAAATGTTATTGAATTTAATGATGGCCGCGTGATAGGCGACTGCACGTGGTAGATACACGTTCCTCAGGTCTGGAGAACCTTCCTCTGTGGGGATCAGTCACCAAGCTCACGCCGAGTTCAAAACGAGAGGTCTTCAGAAACTGATCAATAATGGTTGTTGTTCGGTAACACAGAGGCCATTAAAGCAAAACGATCGATTTAAGTCCGCTTAAAACAAGAGATGTACCATTTTCTATACGTGGGTCCTAGGTTAGGTTAGGTTAGGTAAAGTTTGGTCAATTTAGTACAACAGTTTAATGAAGTTGTGAACACTGGAGTGGACGGGCTGCTTCATCAGAATAACTTAAATGATGGAAATGTCTACCTGGGCGTGTCCCTGGCAGGTACGGCTCAGCGGTCTTCCTGACGGCTGACGACGGCGACGGGGACCTGTACAACGCCTCGGTGGTGTTGGAGGGACGCCAGCTGCTGCAGGTGGACAAGCAGGAGGGCGTCCACGTGGGAGGCACGCCCGAGTTCCTCGATGTTAGTGTTTTCAAGATCCATGGTGACTTCTTCGACGGTAGGTGATGCTGTGGTCTTGTGTTTCCTCTAGGGTGGGTATGCTCTAAGGTTGGTCTCTTTATTACTGGAACGTATATGATCTAAGGTTGAGATCTCTAGTGTGTATCAGTTCTAGGGTTCGTGTCTCAAGTGTGTATATGATCTAAGGTTTACATTTTGAATGCATATATGAATGCATATATGAGTTCTAGAGAAGCTATAGAGCTTCTCTAGAACTGGGAATAATATATATTTATTCCACTGCGGTAACTGGTTATTTTTTCCTGCTCCAACGTCTCTGAATTTTAATGTTATGAGGCATTATCAGGGAAAAACGCCAAACCATTACGACTATATAGCACTGGGAAGGGGTCAGAACAAGGATTTGGGATTGGAGGGGGGGGGGGAAGGAATGGTGCCCAGCCATTTGGACGGTCGGGGATTGAACGGCGACCGGCATGAAGCGAGACCGTCGCTCTACCGTCCCACCCAAGTGGTTATGACATTATAACAGTACATTACTACGTCATCTGATGCCATTGTTCACAACATTGTTTAACCACAGGTATTTTCTTTAGGAATAAACTTACAAGCCAAAGATGCCGCGAGAGGCAAAAAAGAATTCTCTTAGCAAGAGCAGGGTAACTCTGACGCTCGACTCATCTTAAATACGTTAATTTATGGAACACGTTTTAATAATAGATTTTGTAACCTAAATAACATCATTTGCGTGTGGGAAAATCTGACTCAGAATATTACTAATAATGATGATTAAATTCAATAGCTACGAAGGACCTCCTTTTTTATGAAAAAAAGAAAAATTAAAATGAATAAACATATTGAAATAAATCCAGGAATCAGTGCCTATGGATCCTTTATGAATTAATAATATAATGTGAGAACATTAAGTGAACTGCATAATATAATTAAAACTATTGAGCCGACTCGCGCACACTTTTTGAGGGGGTTATAATAGTACAAAATAACAAATACATTAATTGCACAATGAAATAGACGCTAATTCGCATCAAGTATGTCATTAAGATATCAAGAATATCAATAATAATTATATGGCAAAATATAAAAATGGTTAGTAAATGTGATCTTATATTGAAGATCAAGAATTAACTAAATGTTAGTAAATACTACAAAAATAAGACAACCGCTTAGCTGTGTGCGTAAGGGCAGTCACAACAACATGCTTGTAGTAACATGCTGCCCTGGGGCATGTGTGCAGGGTAAGGTTATCTCTCCTCTTGTTACTATGCCACAACCTGATATCACAGTTAATATGTAAAAGATTCCTATACCAAAATGAGTATACCATCATTTCTTTATGAAAGGGAAGGCACGATATGGCATGGGACTAACTTTTTGTTATTTGATGCGTCTTGACGACGAGCTACCTACTCATTTGTTATTTAGTGCACAAATAAGCAAACATCGGTAAGACATCGCCGAGACGAGTGTCTAGTAGTTGATGGAGTCCCTCTCGAACCCTGACCTCCGCTGCTGCAAGGACGAAGTAAAGACAGGTCGGTGAATGCGTGCACTCCTAGACACTATTTCTTGCCAGAAATATATCGGCTATCGCTCTCCTCCTCCCTCACCAGTCCCGCCGGCGCTTGAACAATAGTACGGAGAGTTAATACGGAGAATTCTTCTCCTATTAATTATTCAACTACGCGAGATAATAAGGCTATGGTTTATTATGAAGGAACTAATATTAATTGCATTCTCGTCTTAGAGTAATTAATATGAAACGAAGTGCATAGAGATGAAAAGCTGTTGGAGAATGTGATTCCATCATGCAACTTGATTATAACAGTGGGTACTGTTATATAGTGATCTTTAGCTAATAACGCGATATTATTTGATCACTGGTTGCTACGGTATCATTTAATAATTCATTGGAAAGAACACTGATATAAAGTGAGAATGGAACTTAATTATCTGAAATGTAGACGTTATCTTTCCCTTTGCTGAGTTGTTTGACGCAACACCGTTATGAAGTAGGAAATATTTGGCGAAATAATTATGCAGTAGGAAAAGAATTAATATTGTTAATCTACAAGTTAGTAATATTAGTAAATTGCTATTGTTAGTACAAGGATGATTTATTGACGAACTAAAAATGAGAAATAGGTGTTGGATATTTCTAACATTGCGGAATTATGGTTTATTGACTGTAAAAAAGGTACTCAGTAAGTCTCGGGTAAGTTAAACAGCAAAATTAACAAAACACAATTAAAACCGGGAAAAGAACACGTGAAAATTAAACAAAATTAAATTTAGGTATAGAAACCTAATTAAAACTAACAATCCTAAGTATAATATTAAAATTATTATTATTGCTTCCACCACTAACTCTGTTATTGTTATTACTAGTATTGTTAACTCATCACTTGCGCTGCTATTGTTATTTTTAGTTCTGGGGAAAGAAAACCTAATACAATCGCTTCAGTTGTCATACATCTGGACACTAAGACGTATAAGAGACGCGGCTGAGTTGCAATCATTCTAAAAGGATAACAATGGAATAACCCTCATCCCATAACATTACTATAATTACCTCTCTAGAGAGCCCAACCCCTTGAACTGGAAAATAAATCGACGGTCTTGCCTCTTGCAGGTCGGCGCTCCTTTCCCGACCGTCCAAATAGTTCTTACCCCTGTTCTTTCCTTAACCCTTATCCCCTTATTACTAGCAAGATATATATATATATATATATATATATATATATATATATATATATATATATATATATATATATATATATATATATATATATATATATATATGTAATGGCTTAGTGCTTTCTCCTGATAATTGCCTTACATTGCCTCTCCAGAGTAAGCTACTAAAGAAGTTCCTCGAGGTGGAATTTAGACGGAGGCTCCTAATACACGAACACCGTCAATTTTCACGCTCGTTTCGTGCTAAATATGTGACATTTTTAACCACTTGTGACAACAAGGTGGCAACCAAAACATTCGGTCACAATACAATCATCACGTAGCTGACTGACTAATAACACAAACAGATATCATCAGCTGCATGTATTATATTGACCAATATGAGAATTGTTTCTATAAATCTGAATTAGGGGGAAAATTTAGGAGAGCACGTATGATGTGTGTGTCGGGCCAATTACGGAATATCCAGCACCAGTGTGAACTCTTTGTTTCTCCAACACAACACAAAGCTGGAGAACGTCGAGGGGTATGACTGCCTTCCACCTGATAGACGTGAGTTACGAGGACAGAATAAAAAAAGTTAATCCTCATGTTATCTTAACATAGACAAGCCAGTGGAATAGACAGTTAAAGCAGACATGAAAAGACTTTTTCAAAAGAGTCGTGCACGAACGAGGGGACAAAGGTAAAAACGAAGTACCCTGATGAATGAGAGGTAAAAATATGTTCCCTCTCAGAACTGATCACACAGTCGGTATTGAGCTCTACAAATCATGATTACTTGAATACAGTTAGCTGAGTACATAGCGCTAATTGAAATAACAAATATCCATATATTCAAATATTAAAATATTAAAATTGCAATGCTAGAGATAACTGTACAAACGAAGTGCAGCTCTAGCTTGCTATAATAAAAACAGCAGTTCTATGTAAATAAAAATAAGTGATAATAATTATATTAATAACCAATACTACGAAAGAACATAAATAAATTTAAAAGGATAAATTATTTTGAAACAGTTGACTCGTTCATAGTTTATTTCAATGTTTCTTTTACGCATACTGTAAGTCTAAAGTTTGGAAGTTTGTATGAGGGGAAGGTGGGGGGGGGGGAGAAGGCCCCGGTAAACAGGCAGAGACTGACAGACCGACACGTGTCCTCCAGGAGGTTTGTACTCTCGAGGTAATCGCTTCAAAACCACTACTTAATAAGTGCTGCTACCTTCTCCCTATCTATCTTGAGGTTATCTTGAGATGATTTCGGGGCTTTTAGTGTCCCCGCTGCCCGGTCCTCGACCAGGCCTCCACCCCTAGGAAGCAGCCCGTGACAGCTGACTAACACCCAGGTACCTATTTTACTGCTAGGTAACAGGGGCATAGGGTGAAAGAAACTCTGCCCATTGTTTCTCGCCGGCGCCTGGGATCGAACCCAGGACCACAGGATCACAAGTCCCGCGTGCTGTCCGCTCGGCCGACCGGCTCCCTCGCTTGGTAACCTAATCTATGGTTAGGTTCGGTTAAGGTTATGTTAGTTTAGATTAAGTTAAGTTAAAATGGCTTTATTCTTAAACACATGGAGTATGAAAATCAGATACTATTTAAACATCCACTAGAATTTGATATTAAATATTAAAGAAAGTCTAGAACTTAGAGCTCATGAATGAAATCGAGTTTATCATAGACTTTTTATATTTTAAACCCTGGATTTATAATAAAATAGTTATTACTTGAGAATATTCTTTAAGGCAAAAGTTCACTTACTTATTTACAAGTCGAATATTATTGGAACTGTAATATGCTTTCAGATCATCACAAATATCTAGATAACTATCAGGGTGGTCTGAGTGGGAAGTTGATGTCTTGATCTAATCACTGTAGGCTGAAAAAGGACCGCAGACAGACTGCTACACAGATATCCAGACTGAGTAACAGACAGATAAACCAAAGAGAGAGCTAGCTAGACAGAAGTAGTTATTAATAAACTCCGGCAAGCCTGGACATTACGTAGCACGGTAATAGCTAGACAATTAGCCAAAGAGACAGACACAAAGATACAGAAAAACATACGGACGAGAGAGGAGAGGGAGGGAATTATCACCAAGCCATTACCACTATATAACACTGGGAAAGGATCAGGATAAGGATTTGGGATGGTACGGGGGAAATGAATGGTGCCCAACCACTTGGACGGTCGGGGATTGAACGCCGACCTGCATGAAGCGAGACCGTCGCTCTACCGTCCAGACCAAGTGGGTGGAAAGGAAGAGAGAGAGAAATAAAATATTACTCCTGGCCATTACCACTTCAGGATGTATGGACGACCTGAGGATCTCCGGGCGGAGGATACCACTACCGCCAACGGTCAACAGCACAGCCTGGGGTCAGGCCAGCGTGTTCCAGGGCGTCGAGCAAGGGTGTGGGGCTCCTCCTGCATGTGCCAACGTCTCCTGCAGGCCCCCGCTCTCCTGCGTCGACACCTGGAGGTCCTACCATTGCGGGTCTGTACACAACAATTCTCTGGTGTCCATCTCAGTATCTTTTCAATATTCTTTGATATGTGTTCTGTTGTTCTCCTAAATTTATATATTGACAGATTTTGCAGATAGTATATTTCCCGCAGATTGAAACAAAAGTAATATAATGTATTTCGTTCTTTTAACCTGTGATGAGTCGGCTACCACATCCTTGGTTTCTCAAAGCACTCTGATTAACCTCAAAACCGTGGATTCTTGACAAGTTTGGAGTAAGTCGTGATGGCGATAAGGTTTATCTGTCCCGTCTCGATCCATTGTGCCCCATCCTATCATGGAACGAGGCAGAACACTGCTTCACCCATTCCGTCCCACTATCTTCCGTTCCGGCACTCAACACCATCGTTGCAAAAGTTTTTGTTGTTTTGACGTATCTCAGAACCTTGACCACTTTGGTCATGGTAGTCTTCCTCACAAGCCTTTAGTGTAGTCAAATGTTCGCCACCATGGCGGCCAAATTGCCTGCCTTCAGCGGTCAGGTGCTGATGACCTCGTCCAGTCATCCTACATCCGAAACTAACTGGAGGATACTGGTGTTTGACCCTGGACACTGTTCCATGGTCAGTACCACGGAGCAGTCCATCATGAGGCACCTGGTGATAATTATCTTGTCAGTTATATATATTATATATATATTAATTAATGCATATTATTAATATAATTAATTAATAATTATTACTCTTCCTTCTGCGGGTTCATGAAGGAAGCCGGCCTCGGGAGAAAGGGAGCTGTGACGATCTCTGTCTGGAACCCGTAGGTGCGGGACTCGGTCGTCCACCTCCTGAGGCCCGTGCTGCCCAAGCTTTGCTCCAGGAGGCTGGGGTCGTTCTTGCCCTTTCTAGGGTGGTTCTTCTCCGGCCCCGACCACGGCGGTCTCTGGGTTTGGAGTCCCTGTACCTTCTTTACCAACTTCGAGGAAAACTCCGGAGCTGGAGCCTAGGACAATCCGTTTTTGCCTTCAACCTCGTTCTGGCAGTTCCTGCGACGGCGCTGGAACCAATCGTATTGGCGTTTGCTTTTCCATTGGAGATTTTCGGCGCCGTGGAGAGGAGGGACCTGCTGCATTGTTGACAGCTTCTTCCCTGTATCAACGTACTCTGGGTTTGCACCCTGGAGAGGCCACTCCAGACCGACAACCAGAGCGCAACTCCATAGTCTCCCGAGACTGATGGATGACTACAACTAATACTAATAATTCAGTGTGATGGGATACAGGCAGCCAGTGTATATATACATGTTAGCATTCTATCGAGGTCCCCCGCCCCCCTCCACCCTACAGACCCTCCTCAGGGTGCAACACAACAAGCTGACTAACTTCTGAGTAACTAACATCTGACTAACTGTAACTTCTGACTAACTGTAACTTCTGACTAAGTAACTAAGTAACTGACTAACTTCTTACTGCAAGATGAACAGCGAATTAGGTGACACGAAACATGCCTATTTATCTTCTCGCTCGGAATTCGAATCTTTAATTCTAGACTGAAAGTCGAGAACGAACGCAACAGTAATACCAAGACTCTAAATTAAGGAGGCAGACACCTCCGTCAAGTTTCTTAACTGATGAAGCTTGTAATTTAACAATATCTAAATACTTTGTACATCTGTTCAAAATTGTACATGAAAAAAAATAAAGAGATTGGCAAGCGAGCCGCGAAAATGTTTTCATGTGTATCCTAAACTTTTAAGACAAATTAATAATTTGTTCAGCGTTTATGTGATAATTTAAAGTCTACCGAATTAAAAATTAATATGATTTTTGGAGGGTTAATGATTACAATAATTTTTTTCAAAAGCTATATTTTTATTACTGTTAATAAAATATTTTTAAATATCTATTATAAGTTCATTCACAATAGAACATAGAGCCAATTAGTGTTATATTACCACATGAGGTAGAACAGGTAGCGTCCTTTATCATGAGAAACTTGTTTACAGTGTAGGTGTATATAACACATTACTAACACATGTCTTCCTCACTGTACTATATACGTATAAACAAGGAGCTAAAGCACCATTTATAAGATGCAAAACTGACCAGTCTTGGTCCGCTGTCCCTCAAAAAGAGTTAGACTTGTGTGGGCACCAGCTTAACATACGCGATCACAAACGGACAGTATATGATGTACTACATATCATAGAGGCTCACAAACGGCCACGTTTTCTATGTATGGGTCCAATGGTTACGTTCGGGCCATATTGTACAACATTTATTGTGAGGGGTGTTACCAGGTGAGAGGCCACACTACACCAAGAGTGTGGCCTCCTATCCACACTACATGTGGTCTCCTCTACCTCACAACACGTCATCTGGTTGAGACAGGTGTGGTGAGGGGCTAGTAGTGACAGGTGTGGTCATCAAAGGTGTGGCGAGGGGCTGGTTGTGACAGGTGTAGTGAGGAGCTGGTAGTGACAGATGTAGTCATTACACGTGTGGTGAGGGGATGATAGTGACAAGTGTGGTCATTACAGGTGTTACGAGGGACTGGTAGTGACAGGTGTGGTCATCACAGGTGTGGTGAGGGGCTGGTAGTAACAGGTGTGGGCATCACAGGTGTGGTGAGGGGCTGGTAGTGACAGGTGTGGTCATCACAGGTGTGGTGAGGGGCTGGTAGTGACAGGTGTGGGCATCACAGGTGTGGTGAGGGGCTGGTAGTGACAGGTGTGGTCATCACAGGTGTGGTCAGGGGCTGGTAGTGACAGGTGTGGTCGTCACAGGTGTGGTGAGGGCCGGGCGCTGAGCAGTAGTGAGGAGACGTGTGAGGACGAGGACGAGTGTGTGTGGCGTCCTTGTCTTAACGGAGGCACCTGCTTCAACACCCAGCCAGGTGAGGCGTCCTTGTCTTAACGGAGGCACCTGCTTCAACACCCAGCCAGGTGAGGCAACCTTGTCTTAACGGAGGCACCTGCTTCAACACCCAGCCAGGTGAGGCGACCTTGTCTTAACGGAGGCACCTGCTTCAACACCCAGCCAGGTGAGCCGTCCTTGTCTTAACGGAGGCACCTGCTTCAACACCCAGCCAGGTGAGCCGTCCTTGTCTTAACGGAGGCACCTGCTTCAACACCCAGCCAGGTGAGGCGTCCTTGTCTTAACGGAGGCACCTGCTTCAACACCCAGCCAGGTGAGGCGTCCTTGTCTTAACGGAGGCACCTGCTTCAACACCCAGCCAGGTGAGGCAACCTTGTCTTAACGGAGGCACCTGCTTCAACACCCAGCCAGGTGAGGCGACCTTGTCTTAACGGAGGCACCTGCTTCAACACCCAGCCAGGTGAGGCGACCTTGTCTTAACGGAGGCACCTGCTTCAACACCCAGCCAGGTGAGGCAACCTTGTCTTAACGGAGGCACCTGCTTCAACACCCAGCCAGGTGAGGCGTCCTTGTCTTAACGGAGGCACCTGCTTCAACACCCAGCCAGGTGAGGCGTCCATGTCTTAACGGAGGCACCTGCTTCAACACCCAGCCAGGTGAGGCGTCCTTGTCTTAACGGAGGCACCTGCTTCAACACCCAGCCAGGTGAGGCAACCTTGTCTTAACGGAGGCACTTGCTTCAACACCCAGCCAGGTGAGGCGTCCTTGTCTTAACGGAGGCACCTGCTTCAACACCCAGCCAGGTGAGGCGTCCTTGTCTTAACGGAGGCACCTGCTTCAACACCCAGCCAGGTGAGGCGTCCTTGTCTTAACGGAGGCACCTGCTTCAACACCCAGCCAGGTGAGGCGTCCTTGTCTTAACGGAGGCACCTGCTTCAACACCCAGCCAGGTGAGGCGTCCTTGTCTTAACGGAGGCACCTGCTTCAACACCCAGCCAGGTGAGGCGACCTTGTCTTAACGGAGGCACCTGCTTCAACACCCAGCCAGGTGCTTGTAGGCCCCCTCCCTTGTGGACCCACCACTTGCGGGCCCTCCCTTGTCGGGCCCCTCCCTTGTCGGGCCCCGTCCCTTGTGGGCCCTTCCTTTGTGGGCCTCTCCTTTGTGGGCCCCCTTCATTGTGGTCCCCTCCCTTGTGGGGCCCCTGCCTTGTGGGGCCCCCTCCCTTGTGGGCCCCGTCCCCTGTGGGCCCCCTTCCTTCCCTGTGGGTCCTCCCTTGTGGATACTCCCCTGTGGGTCCTCTCCCTATTTGGTCCCCTTCTCTGCGGGATTCCCCTCCTCTGCGGGGCCCACTTCCTTGTGTGGGCCCCCTCTTTTGCGGGGCCCTTCCCTTGCGGGGCCTCTCCTTATTGTGGCCCCAACAAGGCCTCTCCCTTGTTGGGGCCCCCTCTCTCTTGTGGGGCCCTTCCTTGAGTTCCCTCCTTTGTGGTTCCCTTTCTTTCTGGAGCCTTTCCCTTATTGGGCCCCTCTCTTGTGGGGCCCTCCCTTGAGGGTCCTTCCCCTGGGCGAGCCCTTCTTTGTGGGTGGGTCCATTCCCCTGTGGATCCCTGCCCTGTGGATTCCTCCCCTGTGGACCCTCCCTTGTGAGCCCCTCCCCTGTGGTGCCCTCTCTTCTGAGCCCTCCCTTGTGGGCCCCCTCCCTTTTGGGCCCCTCCCCTGTGGTGCCCTCCCTTGTGGGCCCTTCCCCTGTGGCCCCCGTCTCTTGTTGGACCCTCCCTTGTGGGCTCTGTACCTTGTGGGGCCCCGTCCCTTGAGGTCCGTCTCTTGTGGGCCCCGACCATTGTGGGTCCGTCCCTTGTGGCCCCCTTCCATGTTTCAGCCATTCTTTTGACACCTTTCTCTTTCACTATTTCTTTTTTTACGCTGTCTTCACCATTCATGACAATTTCTGGAGTTCCTTTACTGTTGCACCATTATGTATTGTCATAACTGACCTGTGGTGCCTTCCCTTGTGGCACTCCTTCACCCTTGGGAGACTTGTGCCACACACTCCTCTACCTCCTGCTGTCTTCTGCCACCCTCCTCCACCTCCTGTTATCTTGTGCCACCCTCCTTCACCACCTATCTTGTGCCACCCTCCTTCACCTCCTGTTATCTTGTGCCACCCTCCTTCACCACCTATCTTGTGCCACCCTCCTTCACCTCCTGTTATCTTGTGCCACCCTCCTTCACCTCCTGTTATCTTGTGCCACCCTCCTTCACCTCCTGTTATCTTGTGTCACCCTTCTTCACCTCCTGTCATCTTGTGCACCCTCCTCCACCTCCTGTTGTCTTGTGCACACTCCTTCACCTCCTGTTATCTTGTGCCACCCTCATTCACCTCCTGTTATCTTGTGCCATCCTCCTTCACCTCCTGTCATCTTGTGCCACCCTCCTTTACCACCTGATATCTTGTGTCACCCTTCTTCACCTCCTGTTATCTTGTGCCACCCTCCTTCACCACCTGGTATCTTGTGCTACTCTCCTTCACCTCCTGTTATCTTGTGCCACCCTCCTTCACCTCCTGTTATCTTGTGCCACCCTCCTTCACCTCCTGTTATCTTGTGCCACCCTCCTTCACCTCCTGTTATCTTGTGCCACCCTCCTTCACCTCCTGTTATCTTGTGCCACCCTCCTACACCTCCTGTTATCTTGTGCCACCCTCCTTCACCTCCTGTTATCTTGTGCCACCCTCCTTCACCTCCTGTTATCTTGTGCCACCCTCCTTCACCTCCTGTTATCTTGTGCCACCCTCCTTCACCTCCTGTTATCTTGTGCCACCCTCCTACACCTCCTGTTGACTTTGACACTCACTCAGTATCCCTGCTAATTTGTGACCAAAATAGTCTCATTAAGTGAATTTTAAGTAATCTCATGCAATACGTTTTCAAAATTAAAAGAGTTTATGCAGTATTCTTTCATTTTCTACATTTTCTGTGAAGCCTACGTGTGTGCGTGTCCGGCGGGGTTCAGCGGACAACACTGTCACCTGCCAGACGTGGGGGAGACTTCACTAAAACTGCCGCTCGGGATCCTGGTGACCATTGTCGTCTGGTGCACATTTCTCCTGCGTGAGTATATCTACTTGTTGAGCTCATTATCCATGTGTCTATCTATACATGTATTTTCGAAGATGTATCGGCTAACTACCAAAATTAGAGGGAATTCAACGCGCGCGATACACACACGCACGCAGGCGCACGCACGCACACGCACGCAGGCGCACGCACGCACACGCACGCATGCGTACATATGTACGTACGTGTGTGTGTGTGTGTGTGTGTATTCACCTAGTTGTGCTTGCGGGGATTGAGCTCTGCTCTTTCGGCCCACCTCTCAACTGTCAATCAATCAACTGTTACTAACTATTAAAAACAAAATTCATTCACACACACGTGTGTTTGTGTGTGTGTACTAAACTATTTGGCACAAAGAAATTGGTGAGTACACATACAAAAAATTTTGATAAGACTTTCCAATAGTATTTAGCTTCATATTACTCGGTAATTTCCTTGAATAAATATAAGGAATATTGGGAATGTTCAAGAAAATTGTATTTTCAACACTAGGTATCCTATTACTGAGCACGCCTGTACTAACCCACAGAATGATGCGCTGATATAGTTAACTACATCATTATGCTACTTAGTAAGCTACACCATTAAATTACATATGCAGCAGGCTACATCATTAGGCTACTGTCAGAGTGGACCACATCATTAGATTGCCATTGTTGGTCACATCACTAGACTGTCAGTGTTGGTCACATCACTAGACTGTCAGTGTTGGTCTCATCATTAGACTGTCAGTATAGGTCACATCACTAGACTGCCAGTGTGGGTCACATCACTAGACTGTCAGTGTTGGTCTCATCATTAGACTGTCAGTATAGGTCACATCACTAGACTCTCAGTGTGGGTCACATCACTAGACTGTCAGTGTTGGTCTCATCATTAGACTGTCAGTATAGGTCACATCACTAGACTACTAAACCTTGAGCTCATCACGTGCTCCTCCCAAAACAGTGCTGATCTGCGCCTTTCTGCTGCATCAGCACCACCGCCGGTCGGCGCTGCGCAGAGGCGCCGCCGACAACAAGGAAGACGCCGTCAGTTGTAAGCAACAGGTTTCCCCGCCCTGCAACCACACGCCCAACCTGCTGGAGCTGCAGCTGTTGACGCCGCCCAAAGCCAACGGTCAGCCAGCCTGGACCAAGAACCCCAACATAGCAGGTATGTGGCCCTCCCCCTACCAGCCTGGACCAAGAACCCCAACATAGCAGGTATGTGGCCCTCCCCCCCTACCAGCCTGGACCAAGAACCCCAACATAGCAGGTATGTGGCCCTCCCCCTACCAGCCGGGACCAAGAACCCCAACATAGCAGGTATGTGGCCCTCCCCCCCTACCAGCCTGGACCAAGAACCCCAACATAGCAGGTATGTGGCCCTCCCCCCTACCAGCCTGGACCAAGAACCCCAACATAGCAGGTATGTGGTCGTCCCTCTATCAGCCTGGACCAAGAACCCCAATAGAGCAGGTATCTGCTAATCCCTCTAACAGCCTGGATTAAGAACCTTAATATAGCAGGTATGTGGCCCTCCCCTTACCAGCCTGGACCAGAAACCCAATATAGCAGGTATGTGGCCCTCCCCCAACCAGCCTGGACCAAGAACCCAATATGTGTGGCATGTGGCCCTCCCCCAACCTGTCTGGAGCAGGAGCCCCAACATAGGTCATTAGTTGACTCTAAATTATACTGATACGTTAATATATTATTCCGAAGCACTGGGTGTGATTAGGGCCATTAAATGCATGTGACAGTTTTGGTATGCTCTCCCAGACTTTTATTGTCCGGTTACATGAAATCTGACAAAATGAAATTGCATTTCATCATTATAATGGTTCTAGTACAGATCTTTATCGGGGTGCATCTTATAAAAAAAATTATGATTGTAAATATGCAGAGCAAATGATTCCTTTGAGAGTTTGTAAAGGGCGTCTTGCATTCATTCAGCTGTTCCCCCAGTGCTTGCTTCATTGCTAGATCTTGCAACAGATACAGAACTTGCAGGCTAGAGATACAGCGTTGCTGAGAATTGTTACTATCACGTCGTCAGGCGATATTCTCAGGGTATAACTATTTAACTTTGCCTAAATGAACCTAATGTAATCTAACCACACCTCGTGGCTAATGTCCACACACAACCACTAATCACCTGACCTAGCGTAACCCAACCAATAGTAACCATGAAGGAATCCTTCACCCAAATCAAGGAACAGTCAACCAACATAAAGGCTCCTAGGGGCCGTAAGACCCATGCGTGGACACTGGCAACACACTTGGGTGTGTAGAATTCCTTGAATCTAGCTGTGATACAGTTCATTATATGCGTTTGGTTCATGCTTGCCGCCAAGTCACTTAAAAGTGCATACCACTTACGGGTCCATTATAAAAGAAGGATTCTTGATATTTACATTACTTGTAAATAATAAATAATATTACTTGTTATTTTATGCATGCAAATTCAGTTACATCCCTTTGTCGCGGTGGTGAGTATAGTGTCGCGAATGTGCGACACTGATACTTTAACACCCACCTTTCTTGCAAGAGGTTCTGTCAGCGTCACTAACACGATGTATGACCTAATATGGGGCAATCAGCCCGATTTAGTTTCCACTCTTCTTTCAGACGTGGACGTTCTGCAAGTAGAAGTACCAACTCTGTCGAGCAGCGCGCAAATCCGCCAACAACAAATTGGCGTTAAAGAGTCGCAACACCAGCGAGAAGGCAGCCGTGATGCGGGGAAGAGGAACTCTTGTGCCGAAGGCAGATCGAACAGGGGATGTGTAAGCAGCCCTCCAGCCGGGGACGACCTGAGGAACTACGCTTACGAAGGTGAAGGTTCCTCCCCTGGATCATTGTCCTCGTGTAAGTCCAACAGTAGCTGATGATGGAGGGGGAGGAATGGTCGTAATTTTATCCAAAAATGATAATGGAAGCACATTAACTACTGTCTAAATTGTCACCAAAAATATATAACATAAAAACTGCAGATGGTTATCATTATGCAATAAAGTAAACGCTCTAACAGAGAATTTTAGTATTTCGGCAGGTCATTATATTATAGTAATTAGATGTGTGTTTAACCATCTTCATATGCGCCTTGTCGTAGGTCTGGAGAGCTGCAGCGGAAGTGCCAAGTTCTTAGGCGGCTTCTGTGAGGTGGCCCAGATGGTGGAGTCCTGACACGTCACTGGGTCGTGCTCGAACCAATCACAAGCAGAAACAGAGACCAGCACGACGGCCACACTAAAATACAGACACGATTCACCAACTAACATTGTCCAAGAAACGGATGGAGAGGACGTTGGTCTCCTCAATCAGCCAATCGACTATAAATCAACAATTTCAAGCCCGCAAAGTCCTGTGGCAAGGGACAAAAACTCTCCCAAGTATTCTCCCACGAGAACTTCAACAATGACCTATTGCTGATCAGACGCGAGCGATTACAGAGCATGATCCAGTGGAAGCACGATCCCTCCGTTCCGTCAAACTACAGTAGTGATGGATTAACTGACGATGATTTTCAAGAAAAGTTACCGCACGTAACGGTCTGCCTTGCTTTAGAGTACAGTGTGGTGAAAGACTTGAGAGGGAGCCGCTACACAGTCTTTCTGGTTTGACGCCTTTTGATAATTACTTTCCCCCTCCCTGTCCAGCTCGTTGCTGCTGTGAGGGGCTTGGTGGGCGGCTGCCGGAGTGTGATGCTCCTTTAGGCGGTCCCATGTACTTTTGTAGCCTTGTGCTCCTGCTGATGTCCTCACAAATTTTGCTGGACACATTTTTCTTTTCCTTTTGTTTCGTTTTTCTTCCCCCCCCCCCCCCTTCTTCTTCTATCCGCTTGTCGTTTCCTGCCGACCTTTTGCTTGTTTTGGTTATTCTTTTGGACTTCTTCTATTTTGACGCCTGAGTGTTTAAGGAACCGTACAATCTTGCACCCGTAGAACTGTAGTACCCAACGTCTCGAGCGAGGGGAACCTTTTATTGTTAATCCCCCTTTCGTCACTGAACCCGATCTCGATGGACTGACGGTTCTAAAGGTGGCGTTTGCGGGGCATATACTCACGACGCACCCCTAGGGGGCCCCAGCATGATTAGCGATAGCTTCTTCTTGGGTGTCCTGCCTCTAATTGTGGCTCCATGGTGGGTATGGGGGCACAGTCGTGAATGAAAGTGTTTCTTTTCGTATTCATGTCTATGAATGTTCCTCTTGTACCCTCTCAGGCTCGGGGGTGGGTGACCAAGTCCCCAAGTCGGTTTATATTGGAAGACCGGGGTCTGTAGCCCCCACAGCATTGGGCCTGACTTTGCTCTTCCTTTGACCCTCCTGACTACTCCCCTCGGCTCCCCCTCCCTCCTCTGTGGTTGAGTCGAGCAACAAGCCCCCAGTGGTGACCACTTCGTCCCCTGGCACGGCTCAGTCTCTCGTTTTGACGACTGCACCTTTTAACCCCTCTCTCTGGGGGTTCTCAACGCCGGCCACACTCGCTTGATTCCTTCCGGTACTGATGCGTATCAAGCCTTGTTTGGTTCTGCTTCATGGGCCAAATACTTTGATCTCCTCCTTCTTGTTTCTACGCCTCCTGACAAATTTTCTCCCTCCAAAGGCATCTTGTTGATTCCGTGGACGCCTCTGTTACCTTCAATCCCACCTATCTCTGTACACATGTCGTTACTGCTCCTTCTCAGGCCTCCCGCTTGGCTGCCTGTTACGGCCCTATTGGGTCGCAACTGGGGTTCTTCTCTGATGTTATTAGAGTTTGGGTATCCGGCCCCAAGTTAGTAGTGGCTTTCAAGGGGTGTGTTCCGTAACGCAAGTAGATTAAAGGGGAAGGGATACAAATACACTAAGTTAAATACATATATTAACCACCACCATAAATATATATCTCACAGTCACTCGCTGATGCTATAACTACACTTATATACAATAACTTGTCTCCCTCCGAAGACACAGGGTGCTCTACGGTGCTCAAGATGAGTAGCCCTGGTTCTCTTCTCGTGGCCTCACGATGAATCCTTTGATTTCTAGGCAGAATCTACCATGGCCACAGGCCAGCCAAATCACCGTCCCACTGGGTGCACCGTCGTGGAGGCCTTCAACCACAAATCCAGCCTGTAGCTGGCAGGTTCCAATCAGCTCCGCTGTGTAGGCCACTCCACGACAGATACTAGGGTTGCGAGCCCTAGGCAGGAGCCTCGTGTGATTCCGCTGATTACTCTCCTCTCTATAGCACCACAGTGGCTAGTCTCTTCCACCAGTCAACCCCCGGGTACGACGATTCCTCAACTCTGCCACGTCACAGGTAGGCTAACACTCTCAGCAGTGTTCGTCCGAGAGCAACTCACAGCTTCTGCAGCAAACACGTGGAGAGACTATGGCTGCCTTGGGTAGACTGCTCCACCGTCCAATACAGCAGTCCCAGGTCGATTCTGTAATCAGACACGTCATCAGTACTAGGGACACTCTAGGGCACCTCACTTACAGGCTTAGACACAAATGCCCACCTATCCACTCCATAGATGGCGTTGCTGTCTAAGCGCCACCTCACCAGAGGTAAGCAGCGGCTATGTCACGAGCTGATTAAGGTGGGAATCCAGCCCCTGTGGCCGGTATATCTCGTCCTCACTAGATGGCGTCGTCCATTTGGAGGGGGTTTTGGGAGCTGATTTACAGATGGCGTTGTCGTCACCGCTCCGTGCTCGGATGCTGGACTCAGGTCTGTAACACTGCCTTATCCTGCCTTGGCGAGACCCCTGTTCCAGTCTCCAAGAACGCTCGGTTGAATGCCAGTGTTGGCACTGTTCTCCTCCCGCCTCATGTTGCAACCGGTGTTCGGAATCTGCAGGACTGCCACGATGATGTTCGGCATATCCTCGAAGCCCAGGACCATTCTGTCCTCCAGGTGGACATGTTTACTCGTCCCCCTCGTGGTCGTTGCCGTCAGCCCCTTCGGGTTGTGAAGATTACCTTTGATGGTAGGACTCTTCCGCCCTCTGTCATTCTTGCTGGTGCCAGATGCTCTGTCCAGGAGTACATTCCCCTCTCCTCGGCTCTGTAATAGGTGCTGGAGGTTCGGGCATGGTGCCCTCCGCTGCTATGGAACTGTCTCTCTCTGTCCTTTGTGTAGGGGCGAAGGTCATTCTAAGTCGGAGTGCACTTCTCCCCAGGCTCGCTGCCTCAATTGTGGTGAGTCGAACCCTACCTTCTCCCGTGCGTGTATACATTACAAGCTTGAGGCAGCCATCTGCAACTTGAATCAACGGGAGCGTTTGTCTTTTCCTGAGGCGAGGCGCCAAGTTCACCGGCTCCCACCTTATGCTAACGTCTCTTGTGCTCACATGTTGCGCTCTTCCTCTTCTCGTCCTTCCCACCTTCCTCAGACTCAAAACCTTTTCCAGGCCTTGGACCTTGATACGCCCACTGCCCCCTCCTCTGTTCCTTTGAGTTCTGTCCCGAAGGGTCCCCCTCCTGGTCCTCTGTCTAGGGTTCCCCTTCTTTCTGCCCGGTCTGTCATGTCTCTTGTGTCTTCTTCCTCGTCTCCCTCCGAACCTCCTTCCCATCCTTCTCCTCCGTCTATTGGCTCTCCAAACCGCCTGTCAGTCCAGGCTGATGTCCATTGCTCTCCCAACAGCCGTCGTGTATGCTCTCGTTCAGCTTCTCCTGTTGAGATGCCGAAATCTGTTGCCCAATACGTAGTTGCTGGGACAAATGTCTCTCTGTGTCAGAAGCGTAAGCCTGGCTCCTCTCCTTCCTCCTCCCCGGTGGGTAAAAAGGCTTCTCTTTCTTTCTTGCCCCATACTTCTGACTCTCGCTCCGTCCCCTCCCATTTCTATGGTTACGCCCCCTGTTCCTGCTATGGAGGTCTCTTTGGCCCCCGCTTCCCTCTCGGTTGGTGCCCTTGCTGAGGTGCATTACCTGGTTTCTGCCCCTCCTGCTGCTTTCCTTGAATCTTGGTTATCCCCCCCTCTACCTCCTCCGGACCCTACTCGTCTGGCCCTGGTCGGTCCTCTAGCTACCTTCCCTCCTTGTTTACTCAGTTTACCCATGCCCCCTAACCCTGACTTCACTGACCCTGACCCTGATCCTGCCCTTCTTTAACGTGCTGTGTTCCCATCATTTCGCCTTTGTTTCTTAGTTGTTCTCTGTAGCTGTCCTTCCTCTTCTCGTCGATGTCTATTCTTCAATGGAACGTTTGTGGTTATTACGCCAATTTCCTCAAACTCCAGCTTCTCATTTTGCAGTTTTCGCCCCATTGTGTCTGTCTCCAGGAGCCGAAGCTTGGTGCTCTTCTTGGTCACTTTCGTAGATATTCTTTTCTCTCCCGTTCCCAAGCTGTTGCTGGGGCTACTAACTCTTTTGCTCTCTTGATTCGCTCTGATGTTCCCTTTGTCCCCTTACTTTTTCCTTTGCCTCTCTATTGTTCTGCTGCTCGTATCTATGTGAGGAAATGGTACACCGTTTGTTCCATTTATCTCCCCCTGAGTGTCCTGCTTTTTCTTCCCGATCTGAAACACCTACTGGACTCCTTGCCGGAGCCTGTGCTCCTGCTAGGTGATTTCAATTGTCGTCATTCCCTTTGGGGTGATGATCTGAAAAACACCCGGGGTCGCCTTCTTGAGCCGTTCATCCTCTTCTTCACAGTCTATTCTGAATTCTGGTGAGCCCATGCATTTGAACTCTCGGACTCGCACCCTTTCCTGTCTTGATCTTTCTCTTTGCTCGTCTTCTCTTTACTTAGATTTCATGTGGCAGATTCTTGATGATCTCCATGGCAGTGACCATTTCCCCATCCTTGTTACCTTTTTCTCTTTTCACTCTCCCCTCTCCTGCCCTAGGTGGCAGTTTGCTACGGCAGAATGGAACCTATTTATTCTCAATGCTGCTCTCTCTGACCTCTCCCTCGCTCTCTCCTCCTTTTTCATGACACCGTCGTCTTCGACGCAGCCCTCCGCTCTATTCCTCGCTCTTCTTCTCGGGGTCCATGGAAGTGCGTTCCCTGGTGGAATACAGACTGCTCGGGCTGTCCGCTGTAAGCGTGCAGCCTGGAAGAGACACCGCCGCCGGCAGACGGCCGATTCTTTTCTTTTATTTCAGATGGCAAGTGCGGTGGCCCATAGGGCCATCTGTACGGCTAAACGTGAATGTTAGGCATCTTATGTCTCCACCATTACGTCCGAAACTCCTCTTCCACAGATCTGGAAGCGTATCCGCAAGATAGCGGGCAGGTTCGTTCCCGATGTCTTCGTAAACCTGTCCTTGAATCTTGTCCTTTGGATTTCTGTACTCGACTTCGCCTTCCCTATAATGATCCCTTCTCTCTCTCTGAACTTCGGTCTGCCCTGGCCCTCTGCTGTTGTATGGCGGCGGGATCCGATGGCATTCATTATGAGATGCTTCGCTATCTCCCTCCATGCACGTCTCAGTATTTACTGAGTCTGCATAATCGGATCTGGGAGTCGTCGTTAGTCCCTGAGGACTGGTTCGATGCCGTTGTCCTCCCTGTTCGCAAACTCTGGTCTCTGGGAACCTCTCATAATGACTTTCGCCCTATTGCCCTCACAAGTTGTGTCTGCAAACTCTTTGAACGTATGGTTAACGTTCGTCTGATGTGGTTCTTAGAACGCCATCACCACCTCTCCCCTTCTCAATTTGGTTTCCACAAGTGCCGCAGCACAACAGATGTCCTGGTGAACTTGGAGGTCTATATTCGTACTACTTTTGCTGAGAA